TGCAGTGAGGAAAGCATTTGCCTGCTAACCACCAAAGTGAGCAGTTGGAGCCCACCCTGAACCTTCTGGTGCAATTCCGGTGCAGTCCCAGGGTCGGGTAGGTAATAAGCTAGGAGAGTCAGTCCATTAAGAGGTGAGGCAGTTTGCTTCCTTAAAGACTCAGTCTTGTGGGGAGTTCCACCCTCCAGGGTCGCCACAAGTCAAAATCAATTTGGTTTTAGGTTTTGTGCCTCTGGCTACAGTCCTATTTGGGAAATAGTTGCCTTTGTTATGATAATGAGGGAAGATTAAGGAAGGGTGTATCTCCTTTTCCAGGAAAGACATGGGATAAGAACTAAACCAAACCGCAAGGAGGTTTCCCAGGAAGCCAAGCTGAAGAGACAAGGATCCTGAACTTGGACTTCCAGGTCCCTAAACTGTGAAAGAATGAAGTTCTGTTTCTTAAAGTCATCCCCATGTGGGATCTCCACTTTCTTGTGGGATCTTAGTTTTCTAGCGAGTTAAAACAGGTCTGTGTTAGAAAGGTTCAGAAACAAGGATTTCTAGGAGGTGCAGGGGACAAAGGACTAAATGGAGCTGAGGCCTCAGAGACCCCGAAGAGTGAGGCCAAGATCTGTGGAACCTTCTTCAAGTGCAGTCCCTGGTGGAGCAGGTAACATGCTTAGAGATTCAAGTTTACCTAGAGGTACCACGCAAGAAAGGGCTGGCCATGGTTTCTGAAAAATCAGTCACTGTAAACCCGACAGCGCACAGCTCTTCTCTGGCAAGTTTTCTTTGGTTAAATTGCTGGGGTCACCTTTTGTGTATCCTGAATGTCTACAGAGTCCCTGGATGGCACAAATGGTTAAGCCCTGGGGTGCTGACCTAAAGGTTGGAGGTCTGAATCTATCCAGAGGCACCACACAAGAAAGGCCTGACAATCTGTTGTGAGGTGCCGTCAATTTGACCCCAACTCATGGCGACCCTGTGAACCACAGAATGAAACCCTGTCCAGTCAACACAATTCCTTCTGTTTGAACCACTGGGGCAGCCAGTGTCAGTCCAGCTCATCGAGGGTCTGCCTCTCTCTCTCTCATGGACCCTTATCAAGATCCACTTGTGAGAAATCAGCCACTTGAAATGCTGTGGAGGGTCAGTGATGAGTCCGTTCTGATTTGACAGCATGTAACACCAACTTTAGGAGCCCTAGTGAGCACAGGGGCACAGCACAGGCTGGTGCATGGGGGCAGGTCTGAGAGACAGCGAGCAGGCCTTCTCCTGAAAAAGGGTTTGTAGTGTTTGAGGTGGATGGAGAGTTAGTTTTCAAATAGTTGTCCTATACAGTTTCACAAGGGAGCTCTGGTGGCGTAGTGGCAAGAAGCTGCACTGCAATCCTAAAGGCACACAGTTCAAATCCACCAGCTACTCCACACAAGAAGGATGGGGAAATCTCCTTCTGTGGGATTAACTGCTTCTGAAAACCCGCTAGAGGGTCAGCTATGGGTTGATTCTGTACACAGCAACAATAATAACAAATTTCACAGCAAGTTCTGGTGGTAGTCAGCTGGGAGTTGCACAGCCAAAGCAAAGGCGGAGCTTCCCTGATGGTTTGAATCTACAAGCAGCTCCTCAGGACAAAGATGGGCAGTCTCCTCCCCTGTGATTTACAGCCTCTGGAGAATCAGCTGTGAGTCAGTTCTGACTTGAAGGCAATGTGTGAGTGATATATTTTCAAAGCACCATGGCCTCTGCACTGTCCTGGGTTTAAAGCTATTCAAGTCTTGGTTAAAGCTACTCCCTTGTGTTCTCTGTTCCAGCAGCACCAGAGCTGAGGCACACCTCCTTGTTACAGCATCACCAGAAAACGGAGGCTCACTCCCTTCATGCAGCTGGATGCCTCAGGTGTCCAGTGAATTGTCATCCTGAAGTCCCCTTCCCTGGAAGTCATGCCTCAGCCCCTGTGATGTGCTTGCTTGTTTCTTTGTTTCCTCTTCTTCAGCTCCAGCATCTCCAGAGCAGGGACTGTGCAGTGTGAGTCTGTGCTGTTCATCCTGCTGTTAGGTGCCATTGAATCTGCTCCAACTACCAGCAAGCCTGTGCAGGAGAGAAGGAAAGTCTGCAGCCCGCGCCACACTCACCCCGAGCCGCGCCACGCTCACCCGAGCCGCCCCACGTTCAGCGCCACGCTAACCCTGGGCTGCGCCACGCTCACGTCACCCCGTTCTGCGCTTGACCCATTGTTGCTGCCATTGCACCAGAGTACACTTCACCGTAGTGTCTTCCTCATTTTTAACAACACCCTACTTTACTCATTAGCGTTGGCACTCAGTAAGCAGTAAACATATACTTAACGGACAAATTACCCCTTTCCAAGTGTCTCCCTGTCTGAAAGCCACAACCTGGGTCAACATAGCATCCCACATGGCCACAGAAATCACAGACTGAGGCCACCGCTAGTGCCATTGAACTGAGTCTGACTTATAGGCACCCTGGAGGACAGACTAAGACTGCCACATAGTGTTCCTGAAGCTGTCATTTTTACCAAAGCAGACCACCTCATCAAAGAGAGGCTGGTAGATTCAAGCCACTGACCTTTGGATTAGCAGCCCAATCCATAGAGGCCTCGAAGTGGAATAGACAAGCCTGGAAGGGGGTTTGGAGTCCCCATCTGCCCTAGTCTCCCAGTTCTGATCTCCAAGTGTCACCATCATGACAGGCTGTACTCTCTCTCCTGACCACGTTCACGGTTCATGCCAACATTTTCAGATGGCCTGAGTCACACCTGCAGAAATACCCCTCCTTACCCATCTCCTGGGAGAACAGGCCCACTTGAATGCTGGAAGTCCTTAATCCCTTGTCATCCCCCTGAGGCTCACATGACTCAGAAAAAAGAGCAGGCCTGTCTTGCCATGTGACCATGGTAACTGGACTCTCCCAGGTCAGCTCCTATTCACAAGACGAAGTCACTTCACCATGTCCAAAATCAATAAAACCCGAACTCACAGTCACTGAGCTGTTGATTCCAACTCACAGTAATGCTATAGAGAATAGCCCCACAGGGTTTTCATGGTGCAAGCGGACTGCCTCGCTCTCTTACAGAGCAGCTGGTGAGTTCAGGCTGCTCACCTTTTGGTTAGCGGCCAAGGGCTTAACCATTGCTCATCCAGGGTCACTCACCATACTCACCCGCGAATGGGATGTGGGCCCCAACCTCCCCAACCCCTTCCCATAGGTAAAAGAGTAGAAGAGGAGGCTGCTCCTTGCTGCCCTCGCTGGTGAAACCTCATTTTGTTTTGCAAGGGTCTTGTGGGCCAGCCAAAGACATGGGCAACTGGTTCAACTCCACATCTGAACTGTAGGGGACGAAATGCCCCTTGAAGGAGAGGTGTTTTCCAATGGGACTGCCTCACTACCCTACGCTGGCAGGAGCTCCATGGGCTTACCAAAGGTCTGTCCTCAAAGTTCAGGATAGGGGACCAGGTGGCAAGAACAAGCAAAGTGTGCAGGTGAGCCTGTCACTTGGCTATAGGCTCAGGACAATCTCAGAATTCTGTGGAGCTAAGGTCTGCCTTCATGCACCTGAATTGTGGGCCAGGGTGAGGGTCCAATGCACACAGCTTCCTGTTTAAGGCTTTCCTGCTCCAAGGCCTCTGGAGGCTGCACCCTCCGAGGCGGGAGACTGCTGCAGATGGCCATGGGAAGCATGTCCTTTCAGGTAAAATGTTCCCAGACAAAGATGCAAGGATGACACAGAACCCTGAGACTGGATTTGAGTCTCCAGCTTTCAGACCTTCTGGTTGGGTTGGCAACACAGCGTCACTGTCCCTTGACTGTGGCAGCCCACTTTCCTGGGGTGGTGGCCCATGGGGGACCTGTCACGGGATCACTGAGTCTCAAAGGCGGGTGGAGGACAGGGGAGTGTTGTGCAGCTCGAGGGGCGGGCTATTGGTCTCCTCGCTCACAAGTGACTGCTAAAAGAATCCTAAGCGTCTTTGAGGGCTGCCTGGCCCAAGGCCATCTCTCTCAGGAAGGTGGGGGGTCACGGGTGAGCACTAGGAGCTGCAACTCCCCACTCCCCTCGAGGGAAATGTCCCTTTCCCGACTCTGCCGCCCCCACCAGGGAGGAACACTCCGATCCCCTCCCTCTAGAGTGAAGGCATGTCAATCCCGCCCTCTCCCTGCGCGCAGAGCGCACGGCGCAGAACTGCCCCAGCTGACCACCCACCAAGGGCCTCGCGGCCTGGGCGCCCCACACCCCAGGTCACACCCGGAAGGTCCTGGGCCCCCGCGTCCGGCCACACCATCCGCCAGGAGGCCCCCCGGGACTAGACAGTCAGAGGCAGTCGGTCCAGCCCAGCGCCCCCACCGGAGCTCCCACGCTCGTACTCGGAGGGGGTCAAGCTCCGAGCGCGCGGCCTGCAGAGCCCGGCGCGTTGGGTGGCCCCTGCCCGTCGCGCCGGGCAGAGGGCGGGGACCTGCTCTGGCGCTCTGCTGTCGAGTCTCCCCGGGGGGCGCAGGCTGGCAGGGTCGACCTGGCGCCTCTGGGCTGCGGGCCAGACGTCGGGGTTCAAGACGCGCAGGGGTTTAAGAGTCCCTGAGGTCCTGTTTCCTCACGATCACCGGCTTGGGGCACCTGGGGAGCCCAGCCTCTGCGCCCTCTCTCCTCCCTTCCCTTCCCTTCCTAGGAGAGTCCCAGGCCCCAAACCTCGTCGAGCCACGTGGGAAGAGAGCCAGGAGGGCGGGGACCGCGGCGCCTTCTTGAAGACTGGGGTGGGGTGGGGGTGGAGAGCCAGACTCCGCCCCTAGGGTGGGGCGGGCGCTGGCCAATGGGGAGCCCGGGAAGGGGCGGTGCCTGGGGGGGCTGCTTAAAGAAACTTGTTGCCCCCGAGCGCAAGGAGCGGCTGCGCAGGGGAATCGAAGCTGGGGCGAAGCGGCTCCTGTGGAGACCTCCGGGAGAAAGAGTGGCAACCCAGTTCCTGAAAAACCTCAGCGCAGCCCGGAGCACCCCGCGCGCGGCCCCGATGCTGGACATGAGCGAGGCGCGCGTGCAGCCGCCCTGCAGTCCATCGGGCACCGCCAGTTCTATGTCGCACGTGGAAGACTCGGACTCGGACGCACCGCCGTCGCCCGCCGGCTCCGAGGGTCTGGGCCGCGCAGCGGGTGCTGGCGGGGGCGGCGGCAGCCGAGGTGATGCGAGCGAGGCGGCAGCGGACGAACGCTTCCCTGCCTGCATCCGAGACGCGGTGTCGCAGGTGCTCAAGGGCTACGACTGGAGTCTGGTACCCATGCCCGTGCGCGGTGGTGGCGGCGGCGCACTCAAGGCTAAACCACACGTGAAGCGGCCCATGAACGCCTTCATGGTGTGGGCGCAGGCGGCGCGCCGCAAGCTGGCGGACCAGTACCCGCACCTGCACAACGCAGAGCTCAGCAAGACACTGGGCAAGCTGTGGCGGTGAGCATCGACGGCGGGGATTGGGAGCGGGGGCTAGACCAGATGGCGGGCGCGCGGGGCTTCGGTCTGGTTCTGACCAAGGCAAGAGAAAGGGAACGACCTCTTCCTACGAGAACCCTATCCAAGAAACAACTGATTCCGGAGTGCAGACCCAGGAGCTGTGAGTGGCTGGAGCTCTCGTCCCTCCCCAGGAAAGACCTGAACGTAGGGCCCAACCTAGGGCCCAACCCGGTGGGGAGCTGCCTTTTGGAGGCATCTTCTTGCTGGGGAAGGGTCTGCTCCTGGATACCCCAGCTCTCCGGAAGGCAAACATTCCCTCCCAATTCCCAGCAGGCCCCATTCCACAGCCCACCTTCTCTGCGCCACTAGGCATGGAAGGGGTGGGGGGAGGTACTCCTGGAGGCTGGCGCGGTGCATTTGGCACAGTGAAGGCGTCGTTTTGTTCGATGCTGGAAGCAGAAAGTAGGACAAGAGCCACAGCAGAGCGGCTGTTCCCAGCGCCCACCTCCGCCGGATGCCCCCTGCCTGGGTTTGAAGTGGATCTCTGGTTTTAGAGAGCTGCTTCCCAGTCTCCGGAGCTCAAGAGTCTCCAAAAACACCTGGGGCTCAGCATAGCCCCTCAGTGTGCCCTGTGAGCTATGGTCGGGCAGCCCCTGACCTCCCTCAGTCCCATCCTGCAGGCAGTTAGATCCTTGTTTCTGGAAAGGTCTAAGGCTAAGCAAGGAGAATGGGATGTTGCAAGTGTTTGGACAAGTCTGAGAGCAGCTTCAGCTGCCCTCTGGATGTCCTCAACTTCTAAAAAGTCCCTGAGGGAGAGACAGACACACCCTTGGAGGGGAAGTAAAGGAGGAAAGGAGATGTATGGGTCTGGCTCCTGATGCTGGCTTGCCTGTCACATGCCCACAAACGTGGAGGAACTTAGCTTTTCTCTGGGGCTTGACCTGGGCCACTCACTCACTTGGTGATGGTCTCTGTGGCCAGGATTGCTGGGATGCTATCCGGTGCCATACAGGATGACCTCTGACCCTGATGCTGTTCTTGTGTCTGCAGCCTGCTGAGTGAGACAGAGAAGCGCCCCTTCGTGGAGGAGGCTGAGCGCCTTCGGGTGCAGCACAAGAAGGACCATCCGGACTACAAGTACCAGCCACGTCGCCGAAAGAGTGTGAAGGCCGGCCAGGGCGATGGGGACTCGGGCCCTGAGCTGGGCCACCACCCAGGCGCTGGCCCTATGTACAAGGCTGACACAGGGCTCAGCGACTCGCATCACCACGGTGACCACACAGGTGGGTCCCAGAGCCCTAATGGGAGGTGGGAGCCTGTGGACCACAATTGATAGGTGGGGAAAAGGCGTCACCCCAGTGTAGAACTTCTCTTGGGACCCAGCCCCTGCTCACATGTCTGTGATCCCCAGGGGGGCCTGCATAGCCTCATCTTCATGCCAGTAGCCTGATATCTTTGCTGGGATGCCACACCCCCAGATGGGGGGGATGGCAGTTCTGAGTGTCAACCTTGCACAATACATTTCTCAGCTCAGTTCTTTTCCCTGAACCACTTTGGTTTCTATGGGGGCTGATCCAGTGCCCAGGAGCCATCCCCACTTAGACATTCCCAGCACCCATGTGGTAGTTGACCTATCTCAGAACCAGGCTGACTGGTATCTTAGGAGCTAAGTGTACTCTGCCAGGCCGCAGAGAGAAGGGTTTTGTGTTTGTGACCTGTCACATACAGGAGGCTCCACGTCCCCTATGCCAGCGCTTGCTGGCAGGAACGGCCATCACCTCACCCCATGCCTCAGTCTCCACGTCAAGGCCCCTGCTAGTCTCAAGCCTCCCCTTAGAACGTCCCTGTGGGGAGGTCTGGGTCTGGCTTGGCTGGAATTTCTGCAAAAAAACCATAAGGGAACAAAAAGCTGTTGATCCCAGACCTGTGGCGGTTAGGTTGGCCTTCGGCTGCCTGCAGCTTGGCCAGCCCCACCCGGCCCCCACAGAAGGGTCATTCTTTACTGGATGTGCTCTCTCCCCAGGGCAGACCCACGGGCCGCCTACCCCACCCACCACCCCCAAGACGGACTTGCACCACCCTGGAGCGACAGCAGGCAACAAGCAGGAGCTTAAGCTGGAAGGGCGCCGCCTGGTGGACAGTGGCCGCCAGAACATCGACTTCAGCAACGTGGACATCTCCGAGCTGAGCAGTGAGGTCATCGGTAACATGGACACTTTCGATGTCCATGAGTTTGACCAGTACTTGCCACTCAATGGCCACTCAGCCATCGCCGCTGAGCCTGGCCAGGCAGTCGCCAGCTCCTACGGGGGCACCTCTTACTCACACGCAGGGGCGACTGGCATGGGGGCATCCCCAGTGTGGGCGCACAAGGGTGCCTCCTCGGCCTCAGCGTCACCCACCGAGGCAGGGCCCCCGCGACCCCACATCAAGACGGAGCAGATGAGCCCCAGCCACTACAGTGACCAGTCCCACAGCAGCTCGCCCAGCCGCGACTACAGCGCCTACAGTGCCCAGGCCTGCGTCACCACGGCCACATCTGCTGTGTCCACTGGCTCCTTCGGGGGTTCTCAATGCGACTACACTGACCTGCAGACCTCCAGCTACTATGGTCCATACCCTGGCTACCCGTCCAGCTTGTACCAGTACCCCTATTTCCACTCGTCCCGCCGGCCATACGCCTCGCCCCTACTCAATGGCCTTTCAGTGCCAGCTGCCCATAGCCCCACCAGTAGCTGGGAGCAGCCCGTGTACACTACGCTGACCCGGCCCTGAGGGACCCTGCCACCAGCCATGGGGAAGAGAGGCTTGGCCAGGGAAGGGACGCTTTCTGGACGGGGAAAACCAGTCTTGGAGAAATCATCTGGAAGATACGAGCTCATAAGAGCGGAGGTGGGAGGCCCTAGAGACTTCATTGGATCATGTTTTGTCCTCAGCATCCCTTTGCTTCCAGACTCACAGATTGAGAGCTCTAACATCTTCCTCTCTTTGCGGTGACTGGTGACTCCAAGATGGACAGCAACCCAGTCACTTTTCGGAGAGGCATTCAAGACATCAGTGCATTGAGTCTTTGCATCTTGGATTGGTGCAGGTCAGCCTTTCTGGGCACAAAGAATGTGGATGTTAGGCCAGCTGTGTTAGGAGGTCCAGGGAGTCTTGGGATGGTGTTACCACGGCAATGGCTCTTCACCTGGAATTCACCTGGAGCTTCGCACGTGCACGTGCTAATGCAGCGGCCACACCCCGCATGTGCTCCTGAGGGGCTTCTCATATTCAGAGCTTCTTCTGAGGACGGTCTGCTATGACTAACACTCTTTTGTTGTTTTTTTTCTTTTCATTTCAAAAGATTACAATCGTTTGGTTCATTTTGAACACTCTTGAAAATATTTATGTTCTGTGATATTTTATCTTTAATTAAGGAAGTCATTTGTGCAAAGAGGTTTTTTTGTTTTTTTTTTTAAAGTCAGAGTTGACCCTAGAGAAGCTTAGCAAACAGAAGGTGAAGCTGGGGTTCTCTAGTCCCCAGGCAGGTGTGGGAAAGCCTGGGCAGCTCCTGCCTTGAGCCCTGGGAACCGCAAGGAGGAGGGGTTTGCCTTGTGTCTAGAAGTGGGTCGCCTCCAACAGCACCCAGGGTGGGAACCTGAGAATTTGTGAGCATTAGGGAGCCGTGGTCCCGTTCCATGCCCTGCCGGCGGCATAAGACTGGAATTTTCTGGCAAGAGGTGAGTGGGTAAATATATCCATTTGATTCGTAGGAGCCAAGCATCACCAACCAAACTGTGAACCTAAAACATCCTCCACCAAGCATTTCTAGCGGCTTTAGTTCTACACAGATAATTCCCGCTTTCTCTATGCGCTGAGCAGCTTGATAACCGCCTACTTCACAGATACTGTGCCTTGAAAACCTTGTAATTTAAAGACATTCGAGAGGTTGCTTGTTTTTACTTTTTTTTCTACTCTTTCCTACTTTTTTCTAAAAAAAGAAAAAAAGTCACCATTTTGTTGGTGTGGGTTTTTGCATATTTCTTTCTTGGGGAGGGGCTTGGGGGAAGGGACTGCTTTTCATGTGACCTGTCTTCTCTGTTAACACGTTGGGGACGCCTTGATCTGTCACTTAACCTGCTGTGTCTCAATTCTTCCTGCCCAAGCAATGCTAACTTTTGTGCAGATTGATTTGATAAAAATTAAAAAAAGAAAAAAAAGCAACAATGTTTTTTCTCCCTCTCCCTCTAGGCTGTGTTTTGTGTGTCTCTAGCCCTCCCTTCCCATGTCCAGTGTGAGTGGCCACGGGGACCTCATTTGAATGGGATTAGGCGACAGTGGCTCTGCCAAGGGCTTTTCACAGCTTTTCATTTTAACCCCGAACTCCCCCTAGAGTTGGCAAAAACCAAACCATACTCAGCTCTCCAGTTAATCCCAACCCACAGGATTCTGTTAAATTATGAGGCTGTAGGATTATAGGAGGAGACTGCTCATCTCTCAGGAGAGCATGGTTGATTTGAACCACTGACCGATAATGTGGTAGCAAAATGTTTGTGAAAATTATCAGGACAGGCTGGTCTTTGGAGAGCCAGATCCCTCAGATTCCCACTGGGGGCAGAGGTAGCTCCCTGGTCCCAGGAAAGGTGGTCTGATCATTGGTCTTCCTCTTGGCTAACTAAATCCCCATCTCACATGCTCTGGAAGCAGAATGGATGCATCTCTCTCGGAGAGCAAAGCAGATCCAGACGGAGCAGACCCAGGCCGGGTTTCCTCCCAGCCAGCCCTGGAGCCGATTTGTGGGTGGCAGTGCCGTGCGGGGAGCTGGCAGTGTCTGGGGGCCCTGGCCTTCTGCCAGCTGGGGGCTGTTTGAAAGGGCTGTTAAGAGCCAGCAGAATGGTCCATTTGCAGAGAGCGTTTCTAGGGAGAGAATGACAGTGGGGAGGCAGTCTTGCCCCCTGCCAGGCAGTGGGGGGTGCATAGGGGGAGGGCCTTCCAGGCTGCCAGAACTGGGCCTCCCCAGGTCCCTCTCTTAGGGGCGGTGGCGTCTGTGGTCTAGTGGAGCGGCTGGGTGGAGGGGTGCCCTGGCCTGCCAGCGCACGCGTGGCTGCCCTCCAGGCCCGTCCTCGCCCCTCGGGAGCCCTTTCAGGCTGCCAGCAGCAGTTTAGGAATAGCATCTGCAAGGCAGGGCCGTACTCAGTCTGAGCCCATGGAGTTTGGGACCAGGCTGGGGACCCGCTATAGATGCCCAACCAGGCCCTGACTGACTCGTATGGCTGTGAGCATTGACACTTAGGTGCTCTGAAGCCCAAGATCATTATGACCTTGCCAGGTTCCCAAAGACTCGGGGCCATGCCAGGCTGGGTGTGCTTGCTGAGCTCTGAGGGTTAACTCCTGAGGTCCAGGCCCTTCCTACTGCTCACAGGACCCCCCTACTCCACCCCCTCCGAGCCTGGCCTAGCCTCCACAGGTCTCCCTATATTTGAGTTATATTTGAGGAAACTTTGGAGAGAGGGCACATTCACCCCTCTCCCTGGGTCCTGTCCTTTTTGAGCAGTCCCCTATCCTTTGCCAGAGAGCCCACCCCATCCTTTCCTGTGACAGCCAAGGGCTCCTGCAAACCCCAGGAACAAGCAGGCTTAGGTGAAACTCCCACTTGTGCCTCAGTTTCCTTTCCTATAAGAGGAGTGGTCTGGTCCCACCACCTCTTCAGATGAAGCCCCCAGGGGAACCACAGCCCTTTCCCCAGGCAGGACTCAGGACAGGCTCAGCTGAGGGCAGTGCAGTGTTGAGACTGGCAGGTGAGAAGAGCTGGACACTGGTACCTGAGGTCAGAACCCAGACATGGCACCCAGACTCTGGCCAGTCTGTGCCAAGGGCACTGTCCAGTGCCTGAGACCTCAAGCTGTGACCAGGTGTCCCCACTCTCCTCCCTGCTGGTCATCAAGAAAAGCTAGACGGTGAGAGATTCTTGGCAGCACTGTACCCTGGCCAGTTCCTGCCTTCACCATGGAATTTGTCCCTGGGTATTCCACTTGAGCCCAGAGCAAACCCTTGCCTCCAAAATGGGAAGCCTATCTTGACCCATTTCTAGAAAGAGGATGCAATATACAGCCACTTTGAACCTCAGCAAAGAGACCCACAGCCACTGGGCCCTCTGTCCACCTTTGATCTCCTAGGAGCTTCCTCCAAGGCTTCCAGGCTAAGTCCATGCCTGGCTCTGGTGATCTGAGGTCTCTGTGGCTCCCTGTTTCCTAGTGATACCCACGTATGGGGGTGACAAGAGCCCTTTAGGACAACTCATCTACAGGAGTCCAGGGAGGGGGTGTGATGGAAAGAACACATCCGGTCTGTCCTAGGCCTTACCTCACCCTGTGGCACACCTCACCCAAGCTCCTAAGAGGCCTAGTTTTCTCTGGTCCCAGGAACAGACTGGGGACGCTCCCCATTCTCATCTCCTCCTCAGAGCTCCCAGCTGAGGACAGAGAAGGGAAAGGGCCAGACCAGTGCTGAAGGCTAGAGCAGGCCCTTTGGTCCTTGGGCAGCTCCTGCTGGATAAAGCTGCCTGGGGGACAGGTGGGGGTGGG